GGGCCACAACACGCCGAAAGTCCACAGGGGCTTTTTGGCTGATGCTTTGGGGCTGAAATCTTGAAGAATGCACTTCCACGTATCAGGGTTTCCATATATGAGGGTCCCCGGAGCATATCCAAAAACACTTCTCTCCTGCTTATACGGACCTTTAACAAGAGACCCCCAGTATTTGGAAACCCTTATACATGGCGCAAAGCACTGGAAACAAGCAGCGGCATGAGTTGGGATTCCAACACGACATGCCACCTGCCGCGGCTTGCGGCTCCCTTGAATACTGTACTGCCTGGTGCTAAGAAGGCAATGAGGGAATGGGTCCCTACATCAGTCACTGCCCTATGTAATCCCCGATGATCATCCCTCCTATCCATTCCCCCATTCCGCACTGAGCAGGGGAGTTTAAGTGTCACCTTGAAGGCGAGCGTCTCCTCTTGCTTTGGCTTGTTTATTTGCCTTGCAGCATGAGACCTACAGACACTTTGCTCAAGCATTGACAGGAGCACTGATTGCAAGCAAAAAGCAAGGCGGACAGGGGATCCATCCAGATCGGATCCTCCTGTGGCGCAGCTTACTTTCTATGTCGCCCTTCCCTGGTTTGAGTTTAGCCTACTGGGCAGATATGATTCAGGAGATGCGCAATGGCGGAACCTTTGAAGTAGAAAGACCCCTAAGGGAAAGGGAGAGCCACTTGAACAGTGTGTATGGATTGCATGGCAACGGGTCTTCCCGTGCATTTGTGTGTAGCAATGTTTGTGCTATGCACCTGGCGGAACCGCGAAGTGAAGAAAGCCGTGAAAAGGCCCCATCACACCGGCCCGTGTCAGTGATTACCAGTCTCCGCTAGGACTGAAGAGAAGATGGAGGGCCTTGAGCCCTCCTGTCAGGCTTTTAAAGGCGTAGCTCGGGCATCGTGATCAGCAGTGACCTGCAAGTCGCGATGATGAGGCGAGCTCAGCGTCCTTTGCAGTTGCATGTGAACAGGCACTTGCTGGTACAGGCATGAGCTGGAAGAAGGATACGGGTGTTTGCTGAGCGCCCGGCGCCTTGCCTCTACTTAGGCTGTGCCGCGAAGGATGCATTCAGATTATGAGCTGCGAGTGCATGAAGGGCTCTCTTCTGCTGCGCAGATGTCTTTGGTACTTCCACAGAAAATCTGCTGAGACAAGATCCTTCGCGGACTAGAGGCAGTGAGCGCAGGGTACTGTAGACTTTGCCAGCATCATGAGGACAGAGGCTTTCAAAGTGGGTTGTTTTATCTGTACACCTAGTGGATAGAAGTTTCGAAATTGCTTAAGAAGGACCCTCTTTGAGAACCATTATAACCTTTGACTTCTTTTCGCAGGCCAAAGAGTTACTTGGTGCTTGAGGGCGACTGGGGGAGTGGATCCCTATCATAATCCCTACATTGTAGGCCTCCCCTACAATGGTGGAGTGCCTATATCTAACCCCACTCGCTCGCAAACACCAGTAAGAGGATGCTCGCGCTGAGGTGTTGCCGTGGAAAAGCTATCAGACAATGGCTGCATCATGTAAGCTATAGTCTAAACTTCTTAAAGGGGGCTATATAAAGCATCATATAATGAGTGACTACTCTAGCGGTTATTTAGGGGGATTCAAGGGGTTTAGACTATGGCTGGCGTGAGACTGCAAGTCTTGAAGCCGGGGACTGTGTTTAGTTCAGATCTTGGACGAGAGAGCCAGATGCCAGCAGTCATCCCTCAAACCCTAAATCCCTAAACCCGAAAGCCATACACATTAAACCCTCGGCCCTAAACCCTGAGCTGCAAAAAGCAAACTTAAGCCCTTGAGCCCTGAGTCTTGAAAGCCTTAACCTTTAAACCCGCTTTAAAACCGAAGCCCAGAAACCCTAAACCCTTGGCGTTGAGGACCAGGTGAAGCCAGTTGAGTTGGACCACGGTCAGACAGGGGATGTCTACGCCCTTGAGGCTTCAGGAGGGTTGGGGCTGGGGTTTAGGGTTATGGTATACATGTGTGTGCATATATATATATATATACATGCACTCATACACATGCATGTATATACACGTGTGGCAAACCTCCTATTGTCCTAGGGTGTTCTTGGTTTCTTCTATGCTTCAGGGGAGTTGGGCTAGGAAAATACTCTGACTGCTGATGCCTTGACTCCAAATGCGCAGGAAATATCTTGATTTCTATTCTGTATCCATGCCTATTGGAACCTCTGGCCTGATGACGTGAGATCTGTTTGAGGCATAAAATCATAGAACAACATTGGGCTTACCAACGTTTTCCATGAATTCTACACCGCGGTTCATGGGAGCTATGAGTGTTTTCTAAAGTTGCCACGACTTTGGGAACTATGAGGCTGGGGCCTGAGATCTGTCTGAAGCGTTGAAAACATTAGTTTTACCCATGGGTTCCAGGTATTGAGTCCCAAAAGGCATGGCAAGCGTTGGTGTTACCAATGTTTTCCAAAGTTCCATGATGCTTACCTTCATGAGGTTAGGGGCCTGATATCTCTCTAGCGTTGGCAAACAGTGGCTTTGCCATTTCCATGAATTTTACCCCAAATTCGATGAACAACTCCATGATATGCTGGTTTACGAAAGCCTGAGCCTGGGGACATACATTTCTGCATAGAGGAGGTTCTGTTTGCCATGTAGAGAATATTCTTCAACGACTAGTGCATGGCTGGGCAAGGCCAGCCATGCTGCTGAAGCTATATCAAGATGCAATGGCCCCACATGCCCTCTCACATGGAACCTGAATCAGCTACCTGCAGAGGCAGGCGGTCAGAAAATTGCCGTCTTCAAGCCTGCCCCGCGCTCGATCTTCTTCACTTGGGCATCTAAAAACGAAACAGTCACATACTTCTCGGAACCTTTACTTAATTGCTGGCACCAAGAACCCAAGTACACATTTATTGGGCACGAGCTGGTTGGTCCAGACAGCACATGCCGGATGCAACATTGTGTTACGGTCGTCAGCTCTCATACACGGCCGGAGTAGGACTCGGTAAACTACATGCGGCAAGGGTTTAGTAGCACAAGCTTCAATGCCGTGCTCTGCTCTGCACACGGACGCAGCAAAGCCACACTTGAATGTTTGCCAACATTGCTGGAACGACTCGCAGCACAAGTGAGCCCCTCTATGGTAAACGGCTTTGAGGTTGCAGCAAAGCAGGTGCCCGGTCGTTCACGAGCTGAGGTGGATGGCGAAAAGTTTCATCGCAAAAGCCTCGATCCTGGCAAAGGTGCTGTTCCTACGCTGCTCATCTTGCTTTCTGAGCTAGTTGGGGTGTGACTGGTGTTAAGCTATATAGCTTTCCAATGAGTAGCTCAAATGGACGCGAGTAAAAATGTCTGAAGTCTGCTCCACACATTATTTGCGGCTGCAAAGTGTAAAGTCTTTCGCGAAAAGTTATAAAAGACTTCGTGCCTCGCGATGCCCAACCTGGATGTGGCCGCTGGAAGACATGGCTCATTCAGCCCTGAAAAGCCTCAATTGTTAACGTCCCATCAGCTTGTTAATCTTCGGCCTGAGGGCGCTAGGGCGTGTCATGCGTTGCTTTGGCTAAATGATGGCTGCAGCGATGATACGGTCCTTCATCCATGCTACCATCAGTGCGTCTTTTTGAGTCCTGTATCTATTGTCTAGTAGATGCTTGGCAGACACTTGGTTGCAGGAGCCGTCCGCGAGGAGGCTGTCTACCTTGTAGATCGCCTGTGCGGATCGCAGGCTGCGGGAATTTGTTCCTTGCTGCTTTAGTACAGTAGGGAATGCAAGAATGAAAAACGCTACTGCAGGGATCCATGCTAATAGCTAGCAAGTTTTCAGGTTTGGTAGACATGACCAACCTAGGCCAAGTCATCCAAGTCAGTTTTTCACAGGAGCCCCAGACTCTGTTGTAGACGCCTGAGGAATTACCAGTACCATCGCCATTATAACCCGCATTGGAGTAACATAATACAACTCCACATCTATTCTAATTCTAGTTTAGCCAACACAGACCTGGCAGGCTGGTGTGCCCGTGACCTCCAGGGCCTCCATCCAGGCACACATTGTTGGAATCTACATGGTTTTTGCAGCCTTTAAGTGAACCTGGACTTCTGGTAATTGTAAGGGTCATAGGGCAGTGCTAGCAAGGTTTCTGGCTTTGCGGGCGTTAGAGTCAAGACTTCAAGCTTACGGACAGTAGACAGTGGTCACAGGGCTCATCACTTATTGTTGTTGAACCTTCCCCCTGTATACCCCCTAGGCCCTAAGCTAGCAATCCTCGGCTAGCAATCCTCGTCATAGGAACCACTTGAACAAAACTGATCTTTGGAAACCCCCATAGATGTCTTGTTCATTGCGCAGGTTGGTGACAACAAGCTTGAAGGCCTGGCATGCATGGCGAGGTTTTTGAAAGAAGGGATGTCTGACGCGTGAGTTCCATGTGGTCCCCCAAAACCATCTTTTTTATCCCAAAATATTTCTAGATATCTCTAGATAATACTTTTCTAAGCAATTATGCCGGAATTCTGGGGCTCCCCGAGACCGTTGCCGCCCTAAGACATGTAAACCGCAACATTTTCTCAACCAACAATCTCCCACTACCCTCAATCATGCCTTACCCACCATTAGTGACCCATAGGGTACACGGAGGGTCTTGGAATACATTCTACTGTGCACGCCCCGGGGAAGCTGACCAAGCCACAACGAGGGAAAGATTGGCAAATAAAGACTGAAGCCATGCAACATGTGTAAACCAAAGGGTTGCCATTCATGAATCTGCAAATTGAAGGTACTTGAGGCTTGGTCTCTTTTAGTGATCAATGTGCTCAGACGATTTCCGCTCCTGGAGGCTCAGTCCAGAAGTTCGTAGAGGATGCTGGAAGCCTCAGATGGCTTCCAAGAGTGCAGCCGAATCAGCTGCACAGTTGAGGGGCCATAAGGTCTTCCAATCTAGTTCTTGGGACACGGCAAGGAACTTGAAGCGTCTTGGCCCTCTTGGCTGAAGGGCATTCTTTCGCGAACACATGCCAGCTGATGATGATAGTTGTGATGATGAAAGTATCATCGCGGTGGTTTCTAAGGTGCAGGGATTCATTGAGGACTACGGAATCCCAAGGCAAGCCCACATGTGTGGAAGATCAGCAACAGGCTTCTGCTATTCTAAGCTGGGACTCTTCGTGTGCTGTCAACATTGGCGTCGGTTTCGCTACGGAGGGGTTGTGTCCGTAGAAGCCTCTCATAGCACTTGAGACTAGCAGTTTGCTAGACTGCCTCACTCTTCTCTCCAGAAGAGTGTTTCTCCGCCCGCATTAGCTTTGCAAACTACTTGCCGCACGGCAACACTATGAAATTCGACTTACATGGAGTAGTGAGCGGTATCACCGGAGGAATCTCGAGGATGCCAATGCCTTCATTCCGCAAACGGACGCCGAGTCCATTGCCCTCCTCGACATGCGAGTCTTCAATATGGAACCTCAGAATAAATTGTGGTTGTGGAAGTTCTCAATGCGGCAGCCTCTGCAATAGGCAACTGGTGTAGCGACTTTGTGCGTTTTGATTCGAATGCGGGGGCTTGGCCAAGGACAGGCATCCTGGAAATTTGCTCCTGCTCAAGAAGGCTTGCAAGCTTATGTATCCATTCATGGTTAACTTAGCAAGCCTTTTTCACGAAAGCTCCTTATGAGGCTGCAAGCTTGCCTTGAAGGTTGTGAAGGAGTGCCTCTTTTGAGGATCACCTGTGCAGAAGCGAGGGCACCCTTTTTGCCTGTTGTCATCGGGTCTTTGTGCGTGCCAGGTCAGTCGCAAGGAGCCATACGGAATTAAGGGCGGGAGCTTCTGTTTCCACTTTGCCAAAATTTCAACCTCATCTGAAGACTTCCGCGAAGTCCGCAGCGCAGGCGAAGCCTCATGGACTTGGCCCCATCGATCATGGCTGCTGTTTGCCGCCCTGGTGCGAGCCTTCAGCATCCTGTGGGTTGCCGGGGGCGCTTCGAGTTCCACAACTGACTTGACACTGCAATTGACTTGATCCCAAATGATGGTTTGTATCGACAATGGTCCCAAGTTTGGCTTCATTTCAGGTGCTGAAAGTACTCCAAAGCAGCCAGTTTGAAGGAAGACTAAGGTTTCTCTTGTGCTTCAAAGTGCATCGCAAGCCCTGAGCCATGCAAAAGCTGCCTTTGCAAAAAGTACAGAACCCTTCACAATGTCATTACATCCTAATCTACCCGCTTTGGGCCAGAAAGTCTACGTGTAGATAATACCTACTTTGGGCTTTTGGCAGGCCAAGGGCTAGGCCAGGCCTTGAAGCAGATGTCCGTCCAGCTAGGTGGGCAAAAACCAAAGTTATGGCCGGGCAAGATCCTATGTTCTATTTCCATCAGGATCATACACCACCAGTGTAGCTACATCCCCTACAACCCCTTTAACCGGGGCTACATGTTGATTAGTCCAATAAATGATACCCAATCTCCACATCATGCCCCATGTTTGTCCATTTGGTTTTCCGCTTTTCTTGATGTATCTCTATGCACAACCCCATTCAATCCTCTATGTCCCCATATAACCCTCTCACATGATCCTGAGGTGGTGCCTTGGCGAAGCTATCTTTGAGGCGTGGATTGCTTGGCCGCAGCTGCAGAACTCCGGCAGCAGCTAGAGTAGAGAGAATGAATGTTCCCGTAGGCGTCCATGACACTTGGTAGGGCTGGGGCGTGTTCTGGGGTCATGACACGTCTCCAAAGAGCTCAGGAATCATCAATAAGTCCTTTGAATTGTTTTGGCTTGCGGCATGGGATGTCATACTGAGGTTTGTTGTATGGCCAATGTTTTGTTGATCTCAACGTGAGAGACCAGCATGGATTTTATGCGGCATTATGGGGCTTGCCATAGATTGGGGGCAAGACTATGGGCCCCAACACATTATGATCACCGGGGCTTCCAAGGAGCCGCTGAACTTTGGAAACTCCCGTATAGGTGCCCTGCGCCCTGCATATGAAGCATTCAAGCATCTGAGGACAACCCCCTCTGCGGATGCTTGCAGTTTGGCCCGCACGGCCTACATGAAGCTTCCGCAAACATGCAAGAAGCTTGCGGAAGCCGAGTCTGGGTCTTAGATCTGCGGAGGAAGTCAACAAGACACGCTGTCATTTTTTGTTTGCTTCACAGTTAAGAATGCCTTCTGACCTACCGTACTACCCTGCAGCGACTGCAGGCAGGATGCCTCTGCTAAAGTTAAAGTTGCTGAAAGCTTGTGGGGATGCATCGATGAAAGTCGTATCCGCCTTTGGCTGAGGCTTGATGCAAGTGCCGTGGTCACCTTGAGGCTGCAAGTTCAGATTCAATCAATGCTTCGAAACCAGCAGGATATGGGGTTGTGCAGGGACATTTCTGGTGTGTATATATATATATGTAGATATACAATGATATACACATTTATGTGTTTATATGTATAAATGTAGGGGTTATACCGTGCAGATTTGTTCATTGTTGTTTGGTTAGAGCATTGAGTGCCATGGCAGGCTCTGCACAACATTGGTCTACATCGGCGTAGCCGAAATGGGCATCCCGATTGGAAAGTTAGCTGCCACGGCCTCAAATCCATCAGAATGTTGGCTGCAGGTTGCCCAGGGTACACAAAGCCCTTAATAACAACTCGCGGATTGCTGGTCACACGCGAGGATGCTGCACGGGCCTGCATGCTTATCTTCGCATCGACCATCTACTTTCAAAGGTGGATGGCATCTTTGCAGACAGCTCTTTCTTCACACAGCGCACGCCAAGAAATCTTGTAACAGTTGGCAATTTCCATTCAATTCAGGCTTAAGCCTTGCACAGGCAGCGAGGCATGCCGAATTTTGTTCCTCAGGATTAATGACAGGTCCTGGATGAAAGTTGGAGCCACAAAACCTTCCAGCCACCAGGCCCTGATGCTACGAGATGACTGCGCTGATCCTCAGGACATGGACTGTCAATCTATTTGAAGTTAAGATTCCTTGAAGGGTCAACTGTGTTGGGGTGGTGCTTGAGCAATCAGCTCGGAGGCTTAGATGACGTTGATCTAAGACCGGAGACTTACAAGGTGAGATAGACAGGTCTTTGAAGCCGTTGCAAATGTTGCATTCTCGAGACCACTGTGATCTGGCATGAACGACAGCACTTGCCATCGCTCTGCAGCAGCAGCAGCAGCTGCTGCTCAGTGGGAGCCAAGCCTGCATCAGAAGAGTGGTGTTCATGGACTTATTTCTTCGTTCAGCTTTGGCATTGCGGTTTGGTCTACCCTAACATCCTATAAGCACCACAGCTAATGCATAATTCCCTCCAGTTTATCTCTTCGCCCTAATACCACCCCCCCAATATCAAATACGGGTTTGCCAGAATTCCAAATGCTGAAATCTGCCCCAAAAATTACTTTGAAAGGGCCACGACTAAGGTTAATTGCGGCTCGGATCCTTTGAATTAGGTGAATTAGGGTGTGTTGTTAGCACGACTCTTGAGGATCATGGATCTCTTTGATAAAAAACTCAAACGGATCTAAGTATAGGGTCCTGTGTGCTGCTTAGTCTTGCCAGCCAGCAGTCGTATACTTTCTATCCGGGTCAGGTCTTACAGAGGCGTAGCTCACATGCCCAGAAGTGTTTTGCAGCGGCTCAAAAACGGCTCGACTCCTCAACGATTCGGTCCCTACATTCGCAGCAGGTTCGGGTTCGGTTTGGGCGTCACCCGACGGTCATCCTGCAAATTGGCGTACTGCTTATCAGTTGTCATCATGTTCACTCGGCTCTCGTTGGGTTAGCGTTCGGAGTTTAGGGCTCAAAACTTTGCGGCTTAGGGTTCAAAGGGCCTTTGATTCTTGGAGCCATCCAAGTTAGCATCACAGCTAGTGCCGTACCCTTGTAATCTCCCAAAATGGTATGTTTATTCCCTCCCCCACTCGTTCTTACGCACAAGTGAGTTGCCCCTTGCACAGGTGCATCCAAGCCGATTGAGATATCAAGCACGCAGGGCTCAACATGTTAAACTTAGTTCTTACACAATGGAGGCACCCTTTCATGGTGCAAAGCTGCATCACGGTTTGAGATCTTTGCGAACAAAACCTTCAGAAGACTGCAACCCGGGACAGGAGCTATCCTGGCTGGAGGAGCGCGTGCTGGGCGCGGCCAAGGACGAGACTTCCATGATTCGCCTTGCCCGCTGATGCCCGCAAGAGGATTAACCCAAACCTGGCAAGTTCCGTTCTTCAACCCTGGGTACCTGAGCGAATCAATGATATTACCTGATTTGGGCCTTGCGGTCCAAAAAAATTTCCAGCTTCAGCTGTTGGAGTGCCAGGTCTGAATTTTGCGCAGTAACAGTCAGAGGGCTTCAGCCCTTCTGCTTCCCTGACAGGACCATGGGGGAAAGCTCACCGTGCAGGCAGGCTGCCGAAGGATGCATATCGTGGAAAAAAGTGTCATTTCGATACTGTCCCTAAAATTCCATGTGACCGGATGGTACATACTTGAGCTTTACAGCGACCCCTGTGGTAACTACTTTCGGGCCTTACGTATACGCCATACAGCGACCAGATACACTATAGCACTACGGGTTCTGTTGCTCGATGCGGCTGGAGGCCAACGATCGGGGTGATCCCGAGGTCCGAATTGAGGATTTCGGCGACTCGCTTGAGGCTGGAAGGAGATGAGTCACTTACGTGGACAAAGCATCACCAAGAAAACTAGCCACTGTCTAACCATGGCACTATATGCTTGCGGAAAGTGGAGACCTTCAGATTTGAATCAGTGTGCGCCTGGTTGTGTGCATGTAGTAGATTGTGAAAACCGTGGTCACTTTTTGGGGTCCCTAGATTGCCCAAAAGGGACCACACCTGTTGACATTCCCATGTATAGGTCCTAAGACGCCATTTTGCTTAGTGGGAGGTGGAGCCCTTCCTTGGGGATCTGGAGCCGCGCTTCCGGGAGGATCTGCGCAAGGCGCAGCAAGGTTAGTCTCTACTCTAGGGCTATTTTTCAGTGGTATCTCATGTAAACTCTTACCAAAGAATCATACTCAAGGCTAAGCTTAGCAACATGATCTGCCCGTGAGCGCGCAGCCTATGAGCGCAGTCCGACATTGCAACTGACGGAACTTTGACAAATCGCTGCCCGCGGCATAGGGTGAAGAACAAAAAGGCAAGGAGGGGTGTCAGTGTGAGATCGTGTTTCCGAGTCTGAGGATAGCCCTTTTTCCAAGATGCTTGTACGTCTACCTAGAGGCTCCCAGTTAGTTCCTGTTTGCCCATCCGCCGCTGGGCACCTTCAACGCTTGCACGTATTTATTAGTGGTCTTGCCAGGCTTTTCCGAACTGCGGCGGAGGCCTGCATGGGAAGGCAGTGTAGGACTTTTGAGGCGTCGACCGAGTAAGATCAAGCCACTTCAATTGTGCGCGTCCAGGAGGGATTACCGAGCTCAGGTCTTGCTACTGAGCAGAAGTATTAGGTTTTCCCAGTTGAGGGTTCAGGCTGCTGGCCCTGAGCAAGGGGAAGGAAGCACCCACCCACAGAATTCTCAGAACACTTGAGGCCTTGACTACATATCTTTTCACGCAATATAGCTCCTGGGGGCATGCAAGAGTTCTTGTTTACCATGTGTATATGTACGTTTATATATGTACATATATCAAAGATTTAGAGACTTGCGAAGAAAGTGCCTGCCCCCAATTCTTGATATTGGCGACACCTCCCCCTCGCCTGACCTTGAAAAGCAATTGCAATTTGTTGTGTGGGCAGCTGCTTGTTGCACTGGCAATCAACCTTCCTAATCTGGCAAGCAGAAGACCATTCTGGGTTTTTGTAGCAGTAGAAGTCTCCAGATCTCCCCCACCCACTTTTTTGCCGCCAGACGCGCCGATCCAGTCCTGGTGACTTGCCCTGAAAGAGAAAAGTTGGCTGGGCGAGGATGTGCAGGACAAATAAGACATATCCAATCCGTACAGGGTACGGATCGTGAAGCCCATCTCTGATCTGTACGGCTTTATTCCATGTGTTCCAAAGACTCATCATTCAAGACTTTCCAGAAGCTAGACTAGGGATTACCCTTCCCCAAATCGCAAGGAATCAATTCCTGGACACTTGGGCGATTGGGAACCCTCAACTGCTTGGACGTGGAGCATTTGCTGCTGGTATGATGACATGAAGCCACCATACCACTTCAGGGCTTACTATCAGCTATCACGCATGTCCAGTACTAAGCTCTCTAAAGCTGCTTGCTTGCTGTTGTACCACTATACCACACCTCAACCATTTCATTCCCTACCCTGTTCCCTGAAAGTTCCATACTCACTCCACGCCGGAAACTTGTTTTCATAGCCACGTCACACTGCATGCCATGCATACCACCGTCACCCAGTTCTGTACAAATGACAATCATCTGCTGTAAAATTATCGAGCCTGCCGCCTTGTTCTATTCAGACTCTTGGAAAACATGGCCTGGGAGGCCTACTATTTGTGAAGAGTCTCAACTTAAACCCATGAACAATTTCTCTGCTTCCGTCACGAGTGGTTGCATGGTCAAGGTGAAGGCAGTTTTGGGGGATTGCCGCTTTTTGGCTAAAGGCCCGCGCTTCTGTCTATCAACTCAAAGCTGGCTCAAGCTGCGCCCTCTTGCTGAGTTTACGCTGCTTGCAAATGCCCGGGCTCTCACATGGCAATGCTTCGGACAGCGAAACCGCTCTCTTGAAGCCCCAGGCAGGGTTCCTGGCCAATGAAACCACTGCCACTGAGCTCTGGTAGCACTTTGCTGGAAAGCGAAGTGAGTGACAAGCCACCAGCATCGCCAAAAGCCCTGCAGGCGAGAGAGCCGATCAACCTTCTTGGATTCCAGCTCAGCCGCCGCTTGAAGCGCCCCGTTCTCGTCTAAGGGGACTGCAATATGATTATGGTGCCTGTGCCTTTGGGCTCTTTAGTGGCAGACAACAGCATGCCCATAGCTCATGAAAGTCCAGGTCACCACATGAGGGACTAAAGAGCCTACTTCCACAACCTAACCGGAGCTCGGCTTTGCTGTCAGGCAGTGGCAATTCGTCATTGTGTTCCCCATCTTGCCAGTGGAAGATGGAGTACCGACAGCAAGCAGAAGCACTTTACTGGAAGACACTTTGTGTTGAAAATGGGTGGAGGATATCGGTCCCCCTAGCCTTAGTTCCTCTGGTTGCAGGCAATGCTTTGGCGGAGGACCCAGATGCTACGTGGAAGGCGTGAAAGCTGTAGAAATTTGCAGGTGTTCGGGGACATGGTGTTCTGCCGCAGAGTGACTGCAGCGCGCACACATGGATGTTGTTGTACATGTGGACTTTGGACGGAGCTACAGTACACGACTATGTGAGGTGCAGTTGAAAGCTGTCTTCATGTTTGAGTTGTCCGCAGACCTTAACCATCATCTTGCAGGCCGTTTTCCTGGGGGACGAGGTGCCAAAGTTCCCGCCCTCTTTGACGCAGAAGGACTTGGTTGAGATGAGGGCATGGGTTGGCATGGTCAATCTAGCTCCCTTTGACGTTTGTTATGGCTGTTTGGTAAGGGATTTACTACACCACCCACATGACAACCTACATACGAGCCCCAGAGCAGCCATTCCTGGTAGAGCGGTAGGATCAGGCCTAGCCCTTCCAAAT